AGGGTTTAGGGTTTAAGGGTGAGGGGAGGAGGAGGGACGACAGTTTGGATCAGGAATGCCTCGTCTGCATGTCGCCACCGCATTGCCTGACACATCTGCAGCCAACCGGGCAAGTCTTTACAAACCGTCTCGAAGTATTTTGGAGTTTCGGAAAGTAGGGACCCTATTGGAGACGCTGAACAGTAGGATCCTGAATGTAAGGACCCCCATAATAAGGAACTCCAAAGCTCTGCGGCTTGGAAGGGTGCTGAAATTGTCCTACAGCCCCAAAGACGTGAGGACGATCGTGCGCTACGACTGGAGCAGGAGATGAAATTGCTGGAGCAGGAAATGAAGTCGCTGCAGCAGAAGCCGCGCGGCTCTGTAATGTGAAGTTCTGTGTCCTTGGCCCTTTAGCCCTTGTCAAGGGGAAGAGCCTTCAGCGGCTAGGTTCACGATTCCAATCTTGTGTGTTCGGCTGTGTTTTGGCCGCGCGCACCCAGGTTTTTCGAGAATGTGGCGGCTCAAATGACCGGGGGAAGTGGAGGCTCGCAGCGTGAAGGTCAGCCACGGAGTCAGATTGATAATCAATGTTTGACTGCAACGGCTGCAGATCCACAGGATACACGGGCTGGAGTGGTGCGGGCAGGGTGGTTGTCGGGGGCTCCGGATTGGATACAGACAGAAGAAGCCTGCGAGCGGATGCATCAGCTATGGCTGTTGGTCCTGGTGGTGCAGAGTCAGTCTTGCCAGCTCGTCCACAGGCGGAAGCTGACCTGACCATAGCCCGGGCACCGCTTGCTAGCAGTGTTTTGGCCCAGGCGCCGAAGGCAATGAAGCTGTCCGGGCCCTGAAGGTTGTTGAGAACCTGTGGACGTTACTCGACGCTCGTCAGGAGCTTCTTTAATATCCTGGCCCTAGCTTAGCCGAGATCTCAAAAAACTGTCCTGCCCTAAACCCTAAACCCTAAACCCTAAACCCTTAAACCCTAAACCCTAAACCCTGAACCTCTAAACCCTAAACCGAGGCATCGGCTCTGGCGACCACACTCTCGCACCATGATGAGGCGAGGATCGAGGGTCCAACTGGGGGTTTCCGAAAATAGGGGACCCTAATATAGTACCCTAAATAATCGGATCCTTATTATAAGGACCCCAAAATAAGGTACCCTAATTTTCGGAAACTCCCAACTGGATGCAGGTTGAGATGCTTGCAGCTTTGCGCGGTTTCGCTGCAGTAGTCAGTACTTGGAGGTTCATGGGTAGTTATAAGTAAGGTTATAAGTAGGGTAACTATAATTATAGCCCACATTAGGGGGCTGAAAACTCCACTTATACCTACCTATGAACCTCCAAGTAGCATCAGTAGTCCTAATGAGAGCCGAAACTTGATGCTACAGATGCACAGACTCACGGCGTGACCGCGGCTGGCCAGGAGCTGAAGAACCTGGCGGCAAGCGTACAGGGGTGCGGCCGTCTATTGAGGGTTTAGGCTGAAGGATTTAGGTTTAGGGATTAGGTCTCAGGCTTGAGGTTTAAGGTTAGGGGAGCTGGACAGTTCCCGTCTACATGCACTGTATTGTGATTCGCTTTGAGAGACGGGTGGAGGGTCCTCACACGACGTACATGGTATGGAATCCGGGGGGGTGGGGCAGGGGTCGAGCAACAACAGCCCCGTGTCAAGGATTTCTGATGATGCATTGGTTTTAAGTCCGAAGTGAAAGTTTTCTGGATTTCCTAAGCCCTCAAGCCCTAGGCAAGACTTGGGTTGGTTTTTGGATGCTCAACCCCTAAGCCCTCAACCCCTAAACCCTAAACTCTAAACCCCTAAGCCCCTAAACCCTTAAACCTCTAAACCCTAAACCCTAAACCCCTTTACCCCTAAACCCTAAACCCCTAAACCCTAAACCCCTAAACCCTAAACCCGTAAACCCTGAAAAAAAGAACTCAAAACCCCTAAACCCTCCAAACCCCCCAAAAAGGTGTTAAAAAACTTGACTAAGCCCTTATTATGGCCTTATCAAGCCCTTATGAGAACCATAATGAGCCCTAAACCCTAAACCCTAAACCCTAAACCCTAAACCCCTAAACCCTAAACCCTAAACCCGAGCTGCTTTGCTCATGGCCAGGCTACAGGCGGCGGTCTCTCGCTCGGTGCCCGCAACAGAGGCGTCGTGGTTTGGGGTTTAGGGTTTAGGGTTTAGGGTTTAGGGTTTAGGGGTTTAGGGTTTAGGGTTTAGGGTTTAGGGGCTTCAAGAGTTACCTATACTATTATGGGGGGCTCCTTATTATAGTTATAGTATAATGGGCCCCAGAACCCTAGTCTATTATTAAGGCCCCGACATTAGGTTAGTGGAAGCAAGGAGCTGAATAGGAAGCACAGGCCTGTCGCAGCCTGCTTTAGGGTTTGGGGTTTTAGGGTTTTGGGGTTAGGGTTTAGTATTTAGGGTTTTGGGTTTAGGGTTTAGTATTTAGGGTTTTGGGTTTAGGGTTTAGGGTTAGCTTTGTCCGGCTCTCCTCATGTCCATGCCCTCTGCTAGTCAGGCTCCAGCAGCTCCGGCGAACTCAGGCGCTTCCTAGCCTTCGGGTTTCGAGTCAGGCTTGCTTGGAGGTTCATGGGTAGTTATAAGTAGGGTTATAAGTAGGGTAACTATAATTATAACCCATATTAGGGGACTTACTTGGAGGTTCATGGGTAGTTATAAGTAGGGTTATAAGTAGGGTAACTATAATTATAACCTATATTGGGGGACTTACTTGGAGGTTCATGGGTAGTTATAAGTAGGGTTATAAGTAGGGTAACTATAATTATAACCCATATTGGGGGACTTATAACCCCACTTATGATTACCCATGAACCTCCAAGTATGGTCGGTTGATTTCGAGGTTGAGGCCCTTAGTCGTTGGGGCCACTCTCGCCATGTTCTGTTTGCGCCGCTTCTGCGAAGACACTTTGCTTCCGTGGTGTGCAGTGGGATCACAACAGAGAACTTCGTGCCCGGGACCTGCCGGTGGGCAGGGCACTCCCAACCTGTCTTTGTACAGAACTGTGCTCGAAGCTTGAAGCCCGAATGAACAACCTGACTTGAATCAGTTGCGTCAGCGGTGACGGCGGCTGCTGACGACAGCGTCAAAGAGGTTCAGGCATGTGCTAAGCTTGGTACATGCTTGTACAGGCATTCTGGTCGCTCTTCGGCTGTGCTGTAAGGGTGTGCGGGCAATTGGTAGTACAGAAAAGTGTTGTCGGCGATCCTGCAAAACATGCACACCCTGGAAGTGCAGAGGTGTAGACAGTGCCCCTAAACCCCAAACCCTGAATCCTGTTTGGACTTCGAGTTTTCTTGCAAAATCAAGTCGGCAGCGATTTCTCCCCTGATTTTTGTTGCCTTGGACCACATCCGGGTCCTGTAGCCTGTTTGCATTGTCTGCAAGATGCACTGCAGCTGCACAGGCCAGCGCGGCCCCTGGCGCAGTTGCAGCTGCGGCAGGACATATCAAGTCAATTGTAGCATGGTCAATATGGGAGTTTCCGAAAATTAGGGGGTACCTTATTTTGGGGTTCTTATAATAAGGATCCTATTATTTAGGGTGCTATATTAGGGTCCCCTATTTTCTGAAACCCCCATATAGCGGTATCATCATTCTCGCTCCTTGTACCCAGGTTTTATGACACGTGGCCAGCACACTCCGCTGAGGATATCGGTACAGTATCGGTGTTTGCACTACTGTGGTTCAACTGAGTGCTTCTGGTGGATTCGAGGATCACCTGCAGCAATATGCAGTTGTTTGGTGAATCATCCTGAGGACAGCTGCCAGTCACAGAGGTCTCCCACGATCTTCCCCCTCAGGTTCGCCCCCGGATCGTCGGGGTTTAGGGTTTAGGGTTTAGGGTGCTGGACGTTTCAACGACGAGTGCTGTAGGGTTTGCGGCTGCTGGGTGGTGGCCGACCAACAGTCTCTATTCTGTGGTCATACTCGAAGGACGAGGAGGCTGAGTAACTTTGGTCAAAGACCAGGTAGCTATAGTTACAGCAGCATTACAGCTACTGGTAAAGCCAATGCAGCTACTTGGAACTTTATTCATCTACTTCGTTCCCTGATCCTCCAAGTACTGCTGGGACCACTAGCGGTCACTAGCGGCACTTTGCTTTGTCATTTCACACTCTATATTTGGACAGCGGCGCAGGTCTCAACGGCAGCCATTGAAGCGAGGCGCCGCGCTTCTTTGTCTACCTTGCTTTTGCTTCTACCGTGAGCAAGTTCAAGTGCCAGAAACCAGAGCTCTTTGCACCTCTGTCCTGACAAGACCGGCTCGTCTGCAGAATCTCAGTCCCTTGTCATTGGGCCGCAAGGGAACATGACTCTAGTCGAAGTGCAACCGCAGGGCCGGGGAGGCTCTCCAACGTGTGGCAGAGGCGAGTGACCGGCAGCTGTCCACAGCATCGAGCAACACGGCATCCAATGCTCATCCAGCGTTGAAGCTTAAGAACCCTACTAGTAGTTCGGACAGACTGCCAGTGTGGGCTCGACATGGGTAGACCGGGATGGGAGCCTTTGCTAGATGCCTTGAACTAGCGTAGTTTGTCTAAGATCTTGCGCAGAATCTCAACAAGCTGGCCTACTCCATCATGTAGGCTTCCCATCTCTTCTTATCTCCAGGCCGAAAGACGAATCCTGGAACTGGCTGGTGAGGCAGACTTGGCAGTCGCGCTTCTCGTACATGCGAGCTAGCCTAGCCAATCTCAGAGCTGCGTGTCTGTTGATGTGTTGGAATTGAATCTCTTCAGCCGCGCTCTGCTTTAGCCCACACTGCTCGCACATCCTAGACTCTCCAAGCCTTTGGTATCTTTGGTGATGCCTGTCAAGCCATTGTCGCATGCCGGAGGGTCGTGTCCCTGTTGCTGTAGCCAGTAGTCCTAAATCATGGAGTGTTTGTGCCAGACTGTAGCTGCTACGGGGTGCAGGCGCCATAAGTGACAAGCAGTGCAGCGACTCCCGATGTGTAGGATACTTGCAGATTCTTGCTCTGGTGATCTCCCTGCGTTGAGAAGACATCGCTGGGCCAATTCGTGCATGCGAGACTTACGCAGCGTTGCGGACTCACACACTGTTGGGCGCGTCTTCCAAGTCGCAATGTCGCCTGAGCAGTGAAACATGCTTGCAGCATCACTGTTCTCCTCGCTTCTCTGCAGCCTTGGAGAGGTGGAGTCGGGCCAGCAGCTGCAGCAAGAGGCTGGACACGATCCTTTTCTTGGTATCTTTGATCTTTGCCACTGTGCGCTTCGTGAACGTGGCTTTGCCCAAGACTACGTGAGACCGCACTCTGCAAAGGTGGAGCGCATGTCGGCTTCACTGACGGAGCTACGTGAGAAAGCTGGACTCCCAGCTTCCCTGGTGCTTGCCATCCGTGAGCTTGCAAGCACTTGATGTCAGAATATGTTTGCAACAGCGGTGTCGTACAAGTAGCAGGGGCAGAGGCAGATGATGACGACGACGGTGATGATCATGATGATGAGGATGGGGATGGGGATGGGGATGGGGATGTTGATGGGGATGATGGTGATGTTACAGTGATGTTGATGAATGCATGGATGAGAACGAAGACGATAAACGAATCACGATCAAGCTGACGATGATGGAGTAATGTAATGTTGATGAAGGCCAGGACGTTGATGGCGGTGGTCCCGGTGATGATGACAATCTGATGACGATGGTGGTGGTGGTGGTGGTGGTGGTGGTGGTGGTGGTGGGTGTGGTGATGGTATGCATAGCATCATTATGACGACGAGAGCGACAAGGATTCCGAGCATCATGTTTGTAGCAATGACGGCATACGAAGGCCAGATGAAGTAGAAGATGTGCAAGCAGCATAGTTGTCGTTCGAATGCAGCACGCCCTTGTTCCAGAAAGGAGTTTTATTAAACTGCACACCACCGTGTCTGAGGCTTCAGGAGTGCCAGACGTCGTGAGCATGACACTTCCACGACTTTCCGAACCGAGGTTGCGACACAAAGCCAGACTGTAAAACACAGCGAACGAATTTGGCTAGCGCCAATTGTTGTGGGCTTCTACCGAGCACCGAGCCCGACAAGTTGTCAACGGAGATGGACAGGACTTGAAGCACACGACCGATCGCTGTTCGTCCAGACTGTCGAGCAATGAAACATGCTTGCAGCATCACGGTTCTTCTCGCTTCTCTGCAGCCTTGGAGAGGTGGAGTCGGGCCAGCAGCTGCAGCAAGAGGCTGGACACGATCCTTTTCTTGGTATCTTTGATCTTTGCCACTGTGCGATTCGTGAACGTGGCTTAGCCCAAGACTACGTGAGACCGCACTCTGCAAAGGTGGAGCGCATGTCGGCTTCACTGACGGAGCTACGTGAGAAAGCTGGACTCCCAGCAAAGCTGAGCAGAGTTGACGACAACTCAGAGATACTATGTTGTGGCAGCAGCTTCGCTTTGTTCTACGTTGAAACCGAGATCCTTTAGCATCGGTTGATGTGAGTACACATGAGGAGGTAGAGTCGACAATGGAGAGCGTTGCTGTGTCGAGAGCCTTTGAACTCCGTGTTGAGTTTTCCATGTCTTGCTATGCCTGTGCATAAGTGTATATATTAGTAATTATTAACGTAAGTACAACTATGAGTATACGTGTAGGTACAAATAGAAGTATAAGGATAAGTATAAGTATAAATCTGCACCATGGTTGCGACCCATCAGCACCCAGCTGCTGAACTGTGTGTCACGGAGAATCCTTACTGCCAGCCTCATGTGGTCCTCGGTTCTTTGCATCCAGTTGGACGAGGGCATGTATCGTCACAACTTGTTAAACAGGACGATGATGAGGATGATGAGGATGAGGATGATGATGATGATATGCTGACGACGATGGAGATGGCAGCTTCTGAGTGGATGGACGAGCGCACGCCAATCTTTTAAGTCATCGTTCTGTCATTGCCACTGCTGTCGGTGCTGGTGGTGGCAGACAGGGCCGATGGCAGGTGGTGGGGGGTGTTAAGGGTGTGGTCGTCGTCTTAGTAGTAATACCTGTTGTTGTTGTTGTTTCCGGCGGTGGTGCTGGTGGTGGTGGAGTGGAGGGTCTGAGGCAACAGTGGATGTGTTTGTGTACATTGGTCTGAGCCAGCTCGATGTTGAATGAAGTTGCGCCAAGAGGTCAGGATACATCTACGGTTCCAGAGCCATCCAGAGCCCTCTGAGTTTCGCTAAGCCCAGCTGCGGTGAAGCAGCCACATCCGGTCGAAGTAGCACCTGTGGGCCCTCGTGACATGCATCTCGAGCTGCATCGCCATCATCGTCAAACGAAAGTGTTACTCCAGGTTGATGACGATTCCTTACGTCAAGAGGCGCCGGGCGAAGATTCGACACCCTCAACCCTAAACCCTAAACCCCTAGCCCTAAACCCTAAACCCTGGGAGCTTAGAGATTACCAGAAACTGCTTCAGCTTCGAAGTGCAGTGCATGTCCTAACAGAGCCTCTCAAGCTCTCAGCTAACCCTCCAAGCCCTACTTGGAGGTTCATGGGTAGTTATAAGTAGGGTTAAAAGTAGGGTAACTATAATTATAACCCTACTAGGGGACGTATACCCCACTTATAACTACCCATGAACCTCCAAGTACATCCCTACCCCTAACCCTAAACCCTAAACCCTAAACCCTAAACCCTAAACCCTAAACCCTAAACCCTAAACCCTAAACCCTAAACCATACTGAACCCCAAATCCCCAGGCCCAAAATTCAATTGCCAAGACCCAAAGCCCCAGCTCAAAGTATCCCAGTTGCTAGTTGTAAGCAAACCCTGTACACTCCTTATAAAAAAGAGCCCATAGACCCCAGACAACCCTTGCAACACCATCACGCCCTTGTAGGCAAAGAGCTTCCTGAACCCTAACTTGAACCCTACTTGGAGGTTCATGGGTAGTTATAAGTGGGGTTATAAGTCCCCTAATATGGTTTACAATTGGGGTTACCCTGCTCAAGACCCTACTTATAACTACCCATGAACCTCCAAATATGACCCCTTATAGACCCCGTATAGGACCCCTTATAGACCCCTTACAGAACCCTCTTATAGATCCCTAAAGGAGCCCCCTAAACCCCATAAACCCTGGACAGGTCCTGAACCCTAAACCCAAAACCCAAAACCCTAAACCCTAAGCCCTAAACCCTAAACCCTACACCCTAAACCCTACACCCTAAACCCTAAACCTCTGCTTGCGCATCTAACTGATCCACCAATTCGCATTTTGTCTCCTCCTCTTCGCGATGGAGGGTTTGGACGAGAGTGTGCTGGGCGATGGCGCTTCAGAGTTGGATACGTTCATCGGGACAGAGGCCGACGCCTCCTCTTGGGACAGGCTGACCCTCTCAGAGCAGCTCCTCTCAAAGAAGCTGCTGGGTTCGCCCAGTACTACGAACTTGAAGCCTATACCAGGGGAGAACATAAAGGACTTCTTCAAGAACTTTGCGAACCAGCGTTGGTTGCCCGACACCCAGAGAGGGCAACTCAAGACACTTCTCAACCTGAAGCTTCCCGTTGGTGATCTTCCGGTGAATCGGCCGAATGAACCTGCAGTGATTAAGCTCCTATGCCAACTGGGGGCTTCTCTAGGCGTCACGGGGGTCGCCTTGTTTGGATGGAGCTCCTCCATAGGGTTGCTGAGCTCCACGCTGCCCACGGAGGCAACGCGGAAATCCATACAAGTGTTCAACTCTCTTCGTGGCTGCCTGAGCGACCAGCCCACGCTAGTCCGAAAATTCGAGGAAGACATGGTCTCCGCGCGGAAACAGGTGATTACAGCAGTCGGCACCCTCTCCAAAGCTTTGGGCAACTTCAAGGGGACCGCCGACTACGCTCAGCTACCAGAAGCTTTGGCTGTCTCTGTTCCTCCAGGCCAGCGTCGACAGATCGCCTTGAATACCGGCTCGGGCAACAGAAATTGGGCAGATGTCGCCGAGCAGGAAACAAGCCGGACGGTACGTCGAAGAACGCCTCAAATTTGGCGCAGATGGAGATCGCAGCCATCCTCATCACGAGCCTCATAATGCCACCTTTCGGTTCTCCAGACGGGAAGTGGTCAAAGGACAGCGCACCGGCGATGTTACCACCATGGGTGACTTTCTTCATCAACGAAGTCTGTGCCTTGTACCCGTCTGCAGATCGGGATGCCTACTTAAGGCTTAGACAAGGCCTAGCCCACTGCGCTCAAGCTGTGGCCATGCGGGACCTTGTCCGACGATTGAAGCTCCGGGATGATGAGACACTCGACATCATTGTGAAGACCGCAGTGGAGGAGGTAAGTGCTTCGACCACAGCACGCCTTGCTGCGGTGGCTGCCTCATGCGCAAGCTTGGTGAAAGGATTGCTATGTGCGGGCCAACTGGCCGACAGCTTCTCCGCCCCCATGGCCCAGAACGGTGCCGGAGCAATGGCTGACACATTTTGTGGAGATCTGCTGCGCTGCGCCATTCGACAGCCATCGAACACACTATCCTAGGAGGCACAAGTGGTGAACGCGAGCTCCGCCCCTACTACAATGAATCTCCGTGTCAACAAGCTCGGGAACTCCTTGCCAGAGCTCGCACCGCTGCTGCCCAGCATCGGGATATTCTCCGAGCAAAGGGGGCCTGGTCTGCCAAGGCCACAATGATCACCAAGCTGGTTGAGAGCTGCTTCACCTGGACTGCTGGGGCTGTTCATTGGGGCCAGACAGACCTCAAGGCAGCCAATACTCTACAACTCCACGTGCTTCGTGATGCCTTCCGCATACATCGAGGAGGGGATGAGTCTTGGGTTGCTTGGAATAGTCGTAGCATGCGGATGTGCAGACTGTGGTTCTCGAACACGAACACGCCACGATGGTCCACTAAGATTTTGTGCATGCAGCATTCGTTGTTCGGGCACTGGGCTCGTCAGACAGAGGACATTGGGATCGGCATTTTTCGTGAATTGTCCTTGCCCATGCGGGCTCTCACATGGCGTAATATGCACTGGTGGAGACACCAACAAGCTCGGGCGTGCGACACCCCAAACGTTTCTTCGCTGGATGTGCAGAAAGACAGTTTGCTGAAGTGTATGGGACCATGTGGTACCACTTGGCCTCTGATCGTGCTGCTTGGGGACACAATCGCTTTCTTCACTTAGATTTCTGGGATGTTGCTTGGTCGCGGGGACGTCAGTTTGCACTTCGTTGAGACAGGACATGTTTGTTGTGAACATTGACGCGTAAGCTCTTTCATGGCTTGCCTGAACTTTCACGACATGCCAGTGCCCTGATCATGAAGTGCCTTCTCGTCGCTGTTGTGATCCTGAAGCCCCACTACGTGATTTCCTTGTCGATATATGGCTCCAGTCGAACTTCAACCTCCAAGTTTCTCCTCGTCCTCGTGCCCTCCACCATGGAACTCCTGCTGCGCCTCTGGTTCCTGGTTGGCCTGCTGCTCCTCGACGTCGGCGCACAACCTCTTGGACATGATGACCCTGAAGATGAATATCCTGGCCACCTCTGGGAAGATCGGTGGTTCATCAATCCACGCAGCCCGCGCCGTGGAAAAGTGGGACCCCTGTTGGTCTCTCACAAGACGTGCTTGAACAAACAGCATGGGGTGAACTTGCGTGGCCTTCCTCGTCTACCGGTGCTGCCCCTGGTGACCATCCGTGGGATGACTCTTCCTGGCCCCCTACTTTTCCCTCTTCACCTTGGCCGACGTGTCCTTCCTCATCGAGCTCACAGTCGTTCTCCTGCTGGTCTTCGGCGCCTACAGGTTCGGGAAATTTGCCGTGTGCTTCCTCGCCGTGCCCTTCGTCATCGAGCTTGCCGCCGTCTTCCAGCTGGTCCTTGCCACCTACCAGTTGGGGGAATTTGCCATGTGCTTCCTCGAGTACCACATGTTCGGCTTCTTCCTCTTCGTGGACACTGCCGACGTCGAGTCCGGCATCTCCTTTGGGTTTCTCCTTGGCGCCTTCGTCGTCCATGTCGATGAGTTTCGCGACACCCCGTGCACCGGCTGCTCCCTCCAACCAGTCTTTGTTGTCACCATGGCTTGATCCATTGCGCACAATGAGTGAATGCCTGGGTGACCTCACAACATGGGACAGAGAGATCTCCATGGCCTTGCCCATGGATGACACGGTGCCGGAACAACCGCTGCTTCCCACCTCCCAGCTCAGCTCCATTCCGGAAGACACAGTTGCAAGTTCTGCTCCGGGAGAACATTGGGTGGAAAAGATCATGGACTCACGTCCCCTGCGCGGCCGAGCGCCCCCCAGACTACAAACAACTTCCTCAGGAAGCCCGTCTACTACTTCGACGACAACTACGTTGGTGATGTGCTGGGGAAGCGGCCTTGGATGACGTGACCTTCATCAACCTGGTGCAGCTTGACTGGGGGGTATTGGAGCTTGTGGGTGACATTTCTACGAGTTCCACCACTTCTACCACTTCGTCTCTTCCTCTTGCTGATGCAGAAGAACAAGTACGTGATGCAGTGAATCGCCAGCTGGTCCAATGTGGTGAAGCGGATGTGGTTGATGTCATGCGACGACTGCAAGACCGGCAGAGGCGACTTCACCACTGTCTTCGCCTTAACCTTGTCGCCATGGAGGAGGTTACCTCATGGCTTCGCCAACCTCGGGAGGCCTATCCCCTCAATGGTGCCTTGGTGGATGCCAACATCTGGGATGAAATCGTTCAGCAGTCGTCGATTGGTTCCATGGGCTCTAGAGCAGTGCCGTCACCTGAGCAGAGAGTCTGCTTTGTCTGTGGTTCTGTTTTCTTATGGTGCAACTCCAATGGAGTACGCTCCTTCGCTCGTGCAGATGGGAAAGGGGGCGCGTTGCATTTACAAAAAAAACTCTACACCCTAAACCCCATAAACCCTTGGAAAGGTGCTGAGCTTAAAGGGCGCGGTGGAAGCGAGCTCGGAGCGGCCCAAGAGCAGCGCGGGCTGGAAGCAGGAGGCAACGGTTTAGGGTTTAGGGTTTAGGGTTTAGGGTTTAGGGACTTCGGGGGTTCGGGTTTAGGGGTTTCGGGATAAGGGGGGGTAGGGTTTAGGGGTTCAGCGGTGTAGGGATTTGGGTTTAGGGTTGAGGGTTTAGGGCTTAGGGGATAATGGAGGGGCCTTCATGATGAGAATAGGGGTTTGGGGTATATTATACTATCAAACATAATAAGGAACCCCATAAAATAGTTTAGGTATTTTGCTTAGACCCCTATATTGGAGTCATGCATTAGGGCGATATCTCAGGTCTTGTTGTTTAAGGCAGCTCGTCTGGGTTGTCTTTCCAGAGTTCGGTTGAAGGAGCTTCAGGCTTTCATTGGCGCAGGGTTTAGGGTTTAGGGTTGGTTCTAGAAGTCTAGGAAGTGGCTTACTGACATGGATTGCTGTACGGATTCAAAGGTTCTAGAAGTCTAGAGAGTTCTTGGACGCTTTATTTGGTAAATCGGGGTTTTGAGAGGACACTGTTGGAGTCTGCGGGAGGCACACGAAAGCAGGAAGGTGATTTAGGGTTTGGGGCCCTAAACCCTAAACCCTAAACCCTAAACCCTAAACCCTAAACCCTAAACCCTACCTACCCGCTGTTCCCGCCTCTGAAGAGGCGAGTAAGTTCGCCGAGTCCTTGGAGAATCTGCGCTTCCGCCAGGCAGGAATTTCGTTTTAGGGTTTAGGGTTTAGG